TATTTTCATATACTTACATTTATTAGAAAATGGCCTCCGAAGCACCGCTTCGCTTCGAGCGATGCCAGTGCCATCAGTGTTGGAAATCTATTTTGAGATTTATGTTCTCATGAGAACAAAGTTGTTTAATTTAATGTTTTCGAAAATTTATTTATGTTCTTAGCAGTAAATTTACTTATATCACTCTTTTTTAAATTTCTTATTTCGAAAAAATATAGAATATTTATTCAAATTTTTGCCCCAACCTTTCTCGTCTTTTATGATGATTTTGGAACTTTGCTCAATTTCTAATTTTATTTCCATCTGGTATTATTATACTTAGAGAACATATTTTTCGAGTATTATGGTATGTTCTCAAATTTTTTTATAAACATTTACAGAATATCAAATGTTCTCAAATCTAAAGGTATGTTCTTATGAAAACATGAAAACATAAGATTTCCAACACTGATTGTCATATGATTAATATATTAATTACAATTTACTGGTATCAGTATGATTTCTCTTTTAAAATTTGGGAAAAAACACTATGTTAACAACATACATTGTAAAAATGGTCTGTTCCCAATTATACTTTCAGTGGATATGATATTGTGGAAACAGTTGTTCGCAGAAGATAATATTTTTAACATGTGAGCGAAAAAGTTAAAGAACAATATTGCTAAATGATGTAAATAAAGTTATTTAAAGGACGTATGTCATATATTATCAAATGATAATAAATATCGCGGCTGAAGCTGGAAATTAGGGACCTCGATTTAAAAATATAAACTCTACCAAAATCTATTTATACTATTTTATCATAAAAACTAACCCTAAACCCTAGCCTAACTATTAAAAAAATGCCCCAAAAAATAGTTAAAATTTCCAGTTTCAGCCGTAACAATAAATAATGATTAAGTTATAGCAGCGTTTGGAATTTTTTTTTTTATGCTTATTCCCACCTTATCCTACCGAAAACCTGAATTTTTTGCCTAGTGTCTGAACTTCAGTTCCTCCGCTCCGCTCAGAAATTATTGAACATTTCTTTTGAGCTAACTGCCTCTCAACGCTAGCGATGTCACCCAAACTTTTATGATTGTGAATTTTCTTTTGAGACTTGATATATATTTTAAAATGGCTTATATTTCTGATCGACAATTATATATTAAAAACATAAATAGTATTAATAGAGGAATATTCTAATAGTACTCATAAAAATATAGCTAATATTCACGATAAAGAAATCGATGAACTGTTGAACTATTGCAAACAATTAAATTAAATTGATATCTTACTATTCGTGAAAAAATTATTACTTAATAAGAATTTTTAAAAAAAATTTTAAGCAATAATTTGTAGTTCTTTACAGTATTGATATATTACGATATTATCATATGATAACAATGCATCATCAAAAAAAAAAAAAAAAGGCTACTCATTTATCTCCTAATAACTCCTATTTTTTTTTCTGATTTCAAAATTTCGAAACAGAAATAGGACATTTTGTACCCCACTTGTTTTCGAAATATGTTAATTATGAATAACTCTAATATTGAATTAGAGCTTTATAATGAATTTAAAGTTTTAAAGTTAATCAATATAACTTCTATTATTTCACTTTCGAATATGAGTGTCGCTAAGGGAAAATCCGCAATTCTAATAATAGATTGTGGTGGATTATGCTGAAATGCCGGCCAGAATTATAAAAAGTTTTTGGGCCAGTTGGCCCGAATTATGGTTTAATTGTCCGGAGCGTAGCGAAGGACTTTTATTGTCTATGCAAAGTGATACCAAAATTTTGTTTTTGATGCATTGTAGATAAAAATATCAAAAACGTAACTTTGCAAGATCTTGTCTGTCTGTTGCTTCTGCGTTTATGATTGGCTGAATACGCTGTATGACCTACGTTACACTACGATCACTTTTTTATCAATACTAAACGTTTTCTTTGCACAATACCAATTTTTATAAATATCTGGTATACTAAATTTTAATTGAATATTTATATAATATTAATAGTAGCTCCGGACTGACAATGCTGCGCATTTCCTAGTTTTATATTAGTAAATATGAAGTTTTTTAACAATTTTTTTTTAGGGTTAGGGTTTAGGGGTTTTATTTTTAATTAAATATTTTTCATATAGCTTATATAACATTTCAGCATAATCCCCCACATACATTATTATGAATTTTCATTATTATCTAATTTTAGGTTTTTCACTCGTATTATTATATTACAGGATACGCAGGCTGAGATAGTAAAATTCTAAACATTATTACGGGACACCCTCTGCTCTGGACAATAATGCATGTTGACAAGAATCAACAGATCGAGAAGAACTGGTCAGGAGCTACACGCCACGTGCTATCCATAGATCACGAGACGAAAGGCATGGGTCGGGATCAAAGTTAAATCAACACAAAGCCAGAGATACATAAAAGAAACCACTGACCACAATCGATATACTATATAAAGATGCTCAAAATAATAGGCTTCGAAAAACAAAATTTCTCGATCCTACCTCCTGATTCTGCCATTTCTATTTAACAACCGGCCTGCTTAGAGCAGTCGGGAACCACTAGCTGATGCTTCTCGATGATACCTAACGCAATCTCACTTGATATTTCTGGGAGCATATCATCATTTCAGTTAGATTACTTTGCTAAAATTACTCATAATGTGTTCTGCGGACTTCATGTCCTTTAATTGAATTATTTCCGGCACCTTTAGCTGCCGGTATTTATCCAACTACATAACCAGTCGACCGATGCTTTTCGGTATGTAATTAACACGCATTATTAGGGTATGCAATAATATAGTTATTATATCATAGTAAGTTTAAATAAAAAATTTTTTTCTTTACAATGTACAAATGCATCCTTATAATAGTGAAAATATAAATATAAAACGCATGAATGTTAAATATTTATATAAAATTATATTCACTGAATTTTTCAGTAATTTTTAAACTTTAAACTGACAGTGAACTTTTTACAAGGACTACCTTTAACCAATTGCATTAAGGAGGATTTGTTATGCTCAAAATAATTTTAATAATTAAATAATGTATGGATTTTTTTTTTTTTTTGAATTTATGCAATTAAGCAATAAAATAAGTCTTTATTTCAATAGTTAAAATTTTCAAACTAGAACTATCTTTATAATTAATAATTTATATTATTCTAGCAACTTCTAGTTTAGTTTATAATATTTTATAAAGAAGTTATTAATCACATCAACACTAAAAAATTAAACATGAAAAACTAATTTGGTATTGATATAAAATTCGAATATAAATTATTTTTTTAAATCAATTTTAAGTATGAATAATTTATAAGTTTTTTTTATGAACCTGAAATATTTCATACTCCTCTATCGAAAAACTTGAACGATTTTCAATATAAAATGATATATTTCTAATTGGAATCTCATATATAATATATGAGGTATTATGCCAACAATAACATTTATCTTTTTGAATAAAATTATCTTTCATAACTAAACTACCATTAAAAACAGGACCGAATTCGGAATTATTATAAATTGAAATATTTCTAATTGGACGACTTAAAATAGAATTTTGGATAGTTCCATTTTTTAATGAAAAAATAAAGCTATCATTGCAAGTTTTATATCTAAAATTTGAACTTGGTCTTTCCCAACCAATAGGATTATATCCACCAAGAATTTCATCAGTTCCTTTGACTTTTATAACAACAACAAGATTTTTTTGCTTATTACATAAATTCCAAAATGAATCTGCAGTAAAACCATCTCTGCTCCCACGAAGAAGTAATTTAAATTCGTAAGGATTATTTGCCATAGAATAAATATCTGTTCTTTTATCAATCCATGAAGCAATTTCTGCTGCATGCGCTTCACTAATAACCTTTGAAAATGGTCCAGTTGTTTGCGTTGGTAGTATTTGCGTTGGTAATGTTTGTTTTGGTAATGTTTGAGTTGGTAATGTTTGCGTTGGTAATGTTTGCGTTGGTAATGTTTGTATTGATAATACTTGTGTTGGTAATGTTTGTTTTAAGAGAGTACGAGGCGGAAGAATTTTCGATAATACCGGTTGACTTGGAGAGGCCAGTCGCTTCTTTAAATCTTTCCAAAGGTCTTTATCAAGTATTTGCTTATAATGATATACTTGATTATAAACTTCATCACCAGACATTTGAAAATATCTAATAAGAGGCAAACAGTTTCGTAAAGTAGTCTTTAAGGCTAGGAAATTTTCAGAAGACCATTCTTTGGAATTGGACGGTAAATCAGGATTTTGAGCGATTCCCCATTTGATGACATAATTCCAAATTTTTATTTCTTCCACTTGTAAATCATCTCGTTCGATAAGTGATACTAACGCATTTTCAGGAAGTAAAATGAAAGCATTAGAATCAAAAACTCGACTTGGATATTTTACTATAACATTATTGCACCATTTTTGTAATCCCTGAAAAATATTATTTTTAAAGCTTTTTTGATAAACATGAGTAAAATTTGAACGAAGCCAGTGATCTTTTGTTCCAATCAGATGATTTTCAAGATATTTGGCTAAGTCGTCAAGAAGGAATTCGCAGGCAATAAACATTAACTCAAAAATAATTGATGCATCAAGATTTTCTAACAAAACTACACCGCCGTATATATACCTTCAATTAAAATTAGCGTTAAAAGATATAGTGTATAACATCATAAAAATATAGATCAAACCATTTAATAATTTACTTAATAATGATTTCAAATTGTTGAATAGAGACATGATTTAAATTCATCGTTTTAATATTATTTTTATCTTTGTTAATTTTTGCTAGTTCATTACGGAAATATAAAGACCGATGGTTTAAAATGGCAGAATGTGTTTTAAATGTCTTGACATTTGGTGATTTTCCAGCGAAAATGACTACATTAAAATCTTCTTCATCATTAAGAAGTTTTATATAATCTTTTGAAAGTTTTTCAAGAATTTTTGTCGTCATTTTAGATTAACTTTTTTTTTTTTTGAAGCGAAATAAATATGGTAGTATCGGCATATAATAATTTAAATTTTTTAGATAATTTTAGCATCGCCGCAGTTGTACAGAAACTGGAAACAGTTTATGTACTGTACACTGTACGACCATGGTAAATCCGATAATCATAATGTCTCATGTGATGGCATAGCGGGTTTAGGCAAAATTGCATAATTACACTGTAACTTGTAAAATTGTAGCGTAATATCACATTGACAGTGATGATTATTGCACCAACATTTGGCCAGAGATCTACTGTATTATATACTACGTTCGATGCTATAATTTATATTCAAAAGCACACTAGGCACAATGAAATTTTGGTTAGCGTTATTCAATGATCAAAAATTACATGATTTTTGGTTTCGGAAAACATACAATTACCTGAATTACGGAACAGAAAGCGGTGTGAAACACATAAAAATTATTTTACAATACTTGATCGGACTTGATCAGTCAGCTAGTACATGTTACGATTATAATCCAACATCATTTTTATCATTTTTTTATAATAAATAATGGTGTTGGATTATAATCATAACATGTACTAGCTGACTGATCAAGTCCGATCAATTGTACAAAAATTGGTTCTACATATGACCAATGAACGAAAGTTTGCATTATATTTATAAAATAGAATCAATCATATGAAAATCGAGTTCTACATATGATCAATGAACTTAAATTTTGCATAAAATATAATCAATCATACAAAAATCAAGTTTTTTATATGACAAATGAAATTGAACCCAAATTGGGTTCGAACAAAATTTTACATTATATAAATTATAATCAATCATACAAATATCGAGTTCTATATATCCCCAACAATATACTAACAAAATAACAAATTACTCAAATTAGTAATATATAGTAAGTGGTGCCAGATTTCAAGAATATTTAATATCGAAATCAATTAAACAAAATTAAATTCTAATACAATAATCAAAAAGCAAATTCTATATACAATAATTATTTCAACAATATGTTTACAAATTTTACAATTTATTTGATGAATTAGAAATATATAAAAGAAGCCAAATTTGGCATTATATATAAATTTAACTAACAATTTTCTGATTGGTTATTTTTTCTATTTTTAAAGTATTATATCTTCAAGAACTAATTTTTTTCAAAGTAAAATATTTCATTATTTTGTTAATTTGATATTAGATAAAAATTACTTGCATAAATAAGAGCCAAGATAATTATCAAAAAAAGTACTGAAGGCTGGTTTTTCTAGTCAGATTATCTTATTTTTTGAAAACAAATTTTAATATTGGTTTTCAGTACAGTAAATTCTCTTGCTCTTAAATAAAGCAATAATATATTTTATTAAATATAAAAAATTTATTAAAGTATTAAAAATTTGTCAAAATATGCTATGCATAAAAAAAAAAATTTTGAATATTTAATATTTGTAAACTAGTGACTCTATTTCGGCTGACTTTACTAGTATTTTTTTTTTTTTTTTTTTAAATTTGGCAATCCTGCCTTTATTGTATTAGGAGTGTGTAATCTAAATACATGGTTTCTAAACAAAAAGTCTGCAATAAACTCAATGCCTTCTACCCTCCTACTCTTCAATAAAGACTTACTCGGCTGCTTGTAATGATACCCAAGTGCGATCTGCCACAGCAATAATTCATTTATCTCCGGCATCTAACTTGCTAGATGACTCCCTGAAAAAATCACTAAAAGCTTATTGCTAGCTTGTCAAGATTGCCTTTTTCTTAACATTTTTCCTTCTTCAAAGGAGTATAGAACAAATGGGGGTAAGAAACAAAAAACAGATAAAACGACAAAAACAAAAAGAAAATGAAAAAACAAAGAAAATTTACTAGTATTTTTGTTTTATATTATAATATATAGTGTATATATATTATAATACAATACAAAATTTGTAGCTATAAAAATATTAGTAAAGTTAGATGAAAGTCATAAAGTAATCAAATTTTTTATATAATTGAATCTTTTATTACTATAATTAAAATATGATCAATTTAATAAGTCTCGATCTTTTAATTAAAATTCAATTATATAAGAACATTCAGATATTTAATTTACAAATTAATTTTGCTGCAATTAATTAGATTTTAAAATTCCAATTACATGTGTAACAATACACATATAAAAACAATAGAAATTGAAAATATAATGATAAGAAAACTTATGAATTTAGCAATTAAATCATAGTTATAGTAGAATGTTGGTGTAAATTTTGAATGTTTGAAATCTATAAGAGCTAAGGCTTTTTCATTTTTCATTGTTACTTTTTCGCACTTTATATTTTTTTCTATTTTGCTTTTGCTAATTCTTCTAACCAACATTTTTTTCAAAACATTTTTCCAAAATTTTCATATTTGCTAATTTTTCTTAACTATTTTTCATATTTTCAAATGCTACTATTTCTCGGTTTATCTTTGTTTTCTTTTTTTTGTTAATTCTTTTAACCAATATTTTTTTCTACTTTTTTGTGTTTTACTTTTTCTACTACTTTTATTTTTTTTCAAACCTATAAACATGTCAAAAAAACAACTTGAAAGACATACTAGTACTTCTAAACCAAAATCGAGTTCAAGACCAAGTTCAAAAGCAACTTTAAAAGCAACTTTATCTGAAACTTTACCTCAAACACCTGTTGTATTAATTAAACAAACACATCATATAATTAAAACTCAACCTAAAACAAGCTAAGTAGCCACAACTAACACTTCCACAATAACTTCAGCAATACCTGTTGTTACTGATTTATTTTTGATACTTAAGTTTATACCTCCTTAATAGCATTATCTACTTCTAGTTTAAAGGATAAATATTCTTTATTTTAGTTGCCTGAAAGCATGTTAATTAGTGAACCAGATCTTAAGTGAAAACATTTAATAGAAGAGTTAGAAAGAGGTTTGGTGCCAAAATTTACCTGATTTTTTTTTGGTTTAATGATATTTTTTTGTTTCAATAATTTATCAACATTTTTTTAGTTTAACAATTTATTTATTTATTTATTTTTATTTTTATTTTTATTTTTATTTATCTATATTTTATTATTTATTTTGAATAATGTTTTTAGTTTCAACAATTTGTTTTTTTTATTCTAATAGCTTTTAATTTTTTATTTTATTTAATTATTTAATTCAGAGCTTAAACGAAAATGATTGTTTGATAAAATAGAAGCAGGTTTGGCACTAAAATTAGCAACTTTTTCTGTTTTTTAATAATTGCTATTTTTTTAGAAATTTATATTGCTTTAGTTAATGATTTATTTATTTATTTATTAATTTTATTTTTATTTTTTTAATTAAATTTTTTAAGAAAATGAAGAGCTATATCTTGAAATTTCAAAACTAAACTACTAAATTTTTGAATTAGAAAAAGAAAACAAAAGTGTGAAAAATGAAATTTCAACTTTGTTGCTAATTAATGAAGAATTTAGCAAAAAATTGAATAGGTGATCAAAAGCAAGTTCTGAAAGCTATAAGTAGAGTAATGTTGATGTTGAGATATATAGTGATAAAAAAGAGTATAATGATGAAAAAAAGTATAGCAATGAAAAAGAGTATGGAGGCTACTTTGGCTGAAAATACAAAAAGTAGTACTAAATCACAGCAAGTATCTAAACAATCCAAGGCAAAACCTTTTTATAATCCAAAAGAGGCCCAGATATTATTTTTTAATTTATTTTTATTTTTTATTTCTCTGTTTTTATTAATTGGAAGTCCACGAGTAAGCCAGAAAGTGATATGACTCAGATTACTATATAAATTTATTATAGTGCGAATGTGGCCTGCGCGAATCTAAAACTTTTTTAATACTAAGTTAATCACTCTTCTAACTTAAGAGACTTTTGTAATGCTTGTCAAAACGCATCTAATAGTAGTTAGAACATCAAAATTGGCCTGGTGGATGCTAAGATATCTTTAAAACCCCTTTTTTTTACTATATAAATTTCTTTGCAAAAATGCAAAGAAATTTACATAGTAAAAGAAAGGTTTTTAAAGATATCTCAGCACTCACCAGGCCGATTTTGATGTTCTAACTACCATTAGATGCGTTTTGACAAGCTTTACAAAAGTCTCTTAAGTTAGAAGAGTGATTAACTTAGTATTAAAAAAGTTTTAGATTCGTGCAGGCCACATTCACACTATAGTAAATTTATATAGTAATCTGAGTCACATTTTACTATGATACTCTCTGGCTTACTCGTGGACTCCCAATTAATTAATTAATTATTTATTGTTTTATTTTATTTTATTTCTTTATTTTTTATTTAGGATGAAATAAAAGCATTATTAAAGTCAATACCTGAAAAATTTAAATTTAGAGTAGATAAAACCTTTAGGAACCTATCTAATAAGAAAATTCTTTGTAATTAGTTTCTGAGTTACTAAAATTAATAGCACCTCATTTTACTTCTTTCTGTAAGGAATTATATAACTGGTTGGAAACTTTTACATCATTACCAAAAAGGCCAGTTTAGAAAAGTTGAAACCGGAAAATTAAAGGAAGACAATTGGCATATATATATAAATACTATAGTGAATAAGATATAATATTTTATTTTTTTATTTTTATTTCTTTTTATTATATGTATTTTTGTTTAAAATATTGCAATGACTGCTATTTTATGATTCTTTTGTATACTAATTATACTAATTTTTATTTATAAAAAAAAGCTAGAAGAATCAAGACTGCACAATTGTTGTTTAACTGAAAGAGCAAGAAAATAGTTATAATAAAGGCAAAATTATGAAGTTACTCGCAAAGACAAATATACATTCGCCTAAGCTAAGTGAAAGTAATTCTGAATTTGAATCATCTGAGATAGACAAAAGTAATCTTGAAAAAAAAAAAGTTAACATTTATGATTATACATGGTATTCTGAAAAGGTTTATTTATTATTTATTTGTTTATTTGTTTATTTATACTGATTTTTTAATTTAATTTTATTACTGATTTTTTAATTTAATTTTATTACTGATTTTTTAATTTAATTTTATTAATTTAATTTTATTACTGATTTTTTAATTTAATTTATATTTGAAATTTATATTAACGATTTTTTTAAATAATAATTTCTTATAGTTAAAAACTTAATTGAAAAAGATACTTGATGATACTGCTAAATCATTACCGACAACACAACCACTTCTTAAAAGAATTTATGATGATATCAAATTTTTTACAATATTGCAAGGTCTGAATATTTGCCAGAATA